AGTGAGTTTGATTCTGAAATTCCTAAGGAGTGAGGAACCGACGGTTCGAGCAGGGTGAAAATCGTGTCGAGTACGTGGTCGCAGAGGTACGACCCCCCCCCCCCGAAATCGAGATCCTGGCACGACCCCCTCTAACAGAGCAAATTAATTCAATTAAAATAAATCCTGCAAAACAAATCAAAAAAAATTCTGCAAAATAATGCTAAGGACGCTTCATCTTGTCATCTATGCACGTCTTCCATCGCTGCATACTTTTGTGTACATACTGAAATATCGACTCGAGGAAAGAGGCATTAACTTTGTGTGACCTCAAGGCGAGGTTCGTTCAGAAACGCACAGAAATCCTGAAGACACGGGGTTGCGATTCAATCTTGATTCTTGCTTGAGTATATCAAAACAGCCGAGTGTATCAAAGGCCGATTCAACGGCAGCTGCGGCGCGATTGTCACTGGGTCAGATTTGCCGAAATTTCAAAAAAAAACGTCCGAATCTACACCCTCGATGAAAAGGTTGCATTCCTCCATTTCACAACCTTTGAAGCAGCTTGAGGTAGAGTTAGATAGAGCTGGATTTCGCGTTTCCAACAAGCATCGAAATTGCTCTGGAAGCCTTCCTTGCAGAAAGATAGGGTCTCTCAAATTTCGTCGAGTAAATGTCGAGGAGGCCGAAATTTTCACGCGAGTTTTTGCCACTTCAAGAGCAATATATCTCTTATATTGTAAGATCCTGAAAAAGGGAAGATAGTTTTGGAAAGCGGAAGGTTTGCGCTTCCTGATGGTCTGTTTAGTTTTCTTCTACAGCTTTTTGGTTGAAGAGATAATTGCGTCGAGGATCTATCGAGGACGGATCCGGCCACCTGGAAATCCGCTCCCTCATTCACCATTGCAAGTGTGACTCGTTGGCAACACTCGGAATGTGTCTAGAACAATATCTTTGAACGCAAACAATAAGAATAGGAGCAATCGTCATCATCCGATTTGGTATTGGTATAAGCCATGCATCCCTCCTCCACTCACAGTTGCAGAATCGATTGAAAGGTGTTATATGATGGGGACCTTCGAACGAAACTGTATTGTAGTAGACATAGTGTGTTGTGCTATTCCTGTAACCTAAAAAACAACTTCATTTGCCCAGCGCTTTTTCTTCACGGTTGTCGTTTTTCCGACAGGGTCCCTAACAACAGCGTCATTCTCAGCGAGGTATTAAGGGAGAAGGAGCGAGCGATAGGCAGAGGAGGTGCCTTTGCAGCGCGTGCGCACATGTGGCACTCTTCTTTGCGGGGATGCACTTTCATTCTTTGTACTGCCTTCAAATACGCCCTCATGAAGGTGGAGGAATGGAGCGACTGAACCTGCAAAGAAAATTTAATATCATGTTTTTTTTCGGATGTTTTCATTTTCTGCTGCGCTATACCCTATTACCTATCTGCACCATGATACCACTTCTGTTACTGACCCCCAAGAGTACGACCCCCCATGGACCAGCCCAACAGGTACGACCCCCCTGTCGAGGATTTCCTCGACCGATATTCACCCTGGTTATGGAAGTAATGTAATAACTTCGTATAGCATACATGTCAAACATACTAGTCAAAATACTGTATTGCTTTAAAGCTCTTTACTTTTAAGACATATCCTTTGCGCTAGATTAGCAGAGGCCAAGGAATTGTGCCCCCACCCCCGGCCAATCCCACTTTTACCTGTTATAT